CTTTTGTCCTCTTGCATTTGAATTAAGCAGCTTCCTCCTCCATGTTGTATGGGTCTGGAAATGAGGTACTAAAAGCCCCAAAAATTCAGCCTGAAGCAGGCAACTAGCATGGAATATTTCAATCCCAAAACTTAAAGTTTGGCAAAGTTATAAGCAACTGAAAGCAAGGTCTTATAATGGAAATTGTCAGTGAAACTTAATCATAGATGGCCCTACCAGCCCCACTTATAATGTTTAAATATTTGAAAAATACAAGTCACACTTAAGTGTGTGCGTGTGTGTGTGTGTGTGAGAGAGAGAGAGAGAGAGAGAGAGAGAGGTGAGATTTGCCTGTTGTACAGGGGAAATGCTCTTCTTCCTCTTTTTGTGTCTTTGACTTGCGGTAGCTATATATTAAGTAGCTATAATAAACCATACATGTACACATTTGTTTATTACTGTGAATAGTTTGCATGGATAGAATAGAACTAAGTATTTATATTACAGTAGTATCTACTGTCCCAGCTGAAATGAGAGCCCTATTGTGGTAGGTATTGTACTAACACATAGTGGGAGAACATTCCTGCCCAGAGAGCTTAAAGTCTAAATGGATAAAAGGTGGGGAAGGAAACAAAGAGATATGAAATGATTTACCCAGGTTCGCACAGCAGATCAGTGGACCAGCTTAGAATGGAACACCTTTCTTTGTTCCCAGTCCAGAGCCCTGTCCACTAGACCACCTTGTATGGTCTGACATAACCTTGTATGGACCTTTACAAAGACAACAATCCCAAATCTAAAACTAAACGGCCCTTTTCTTGAAGTGCTTATAATCTGCGTCCAACAGCTTTAGACAATAAAGTTGATTGATAAAGGTGGGAAGAGATAAATAACGTGTTACTGATGACTCACAGCACAGGAGTCTGTTAGTGATGGGAATCACAATAAAAAGTTGATTTGGGTTTTGAGGAGCAATTTAAGGACAGAGTGAGGCTACTGAGTGCACTGGAATAAAGATACCATTTGTTTAGGTGGAAGGAAGATCAATTTGCACAGGGAAGTTATGTGAAGGGCATGTTCAGACTCACTGCCCTTGTTTCCCTCTTTATTTCTCTTAGAATAATTGTCCATGGAAGGAGATGGAGATGGTTCTGTTCTGAGACAGACCTATATAGCCCAGTTGGAACATGTCCTCTACATCAGGGTATTGCAACACATGGGTTGAGACCCAAAATTGGGTCACAACAATGTGTCAAAGGATCTATTGGGAGGACTGGGTCCTGGGAGGTGCAAGGTTGCAGATCACACCCACAGCAATGGCTCTGCTGAGCTGGCTGGGCTCAGCTTGATGCTCAGGACATTGCATCCTGGTGCACGGTCACAGTGCCTACCTAATGATGATGGGGGAGTGTGGAAGCTGGCAGAGCCAGAAGTAGAGCAAGTGTCACTGTGGCCCCCTACGCCAGGCCACAACACGACTTTCACAAATCTACTCACTGGGCCAATGCTCAGTGATGCTGCAACCTCTGGGGTTGCGGAGCTGAGCCATTCCAGCCCTGCAGGGCAGGAGCAGCCACTGTGCTATGCACAAGGCCCGTACTTAGTACATTACTGTGTATTCTATAGCATGGGTACAAAATATTTAATAAACCAGATGTTTTTTAAAATTAAAGCTAAAAGCCATGAGCCTAAAAATGCCGAGAACCGCTGCTTTAAATTCTTCTTATGAGAACGTTTGGCTGACTATGGAACATTACCATGGGAGTAAGATTAGCACTCTGAGCCCTCTCTGGCTCCACAAGACTTGTGCTACCTGCTTTGCAGGAATTCCATCATTGCATGCGATATCAGCAGGTGATCTGGCCTCTTCTCTGGAAAACACAAGGCTGTGGATCTTGAAGCATTGCCAGCCCTTGGAATGATACTCCGATCATCACAATTTTGGGGCCTCTCTATGCTTTTGATGATAGAAATTGCAGGCAGCTGAGGAATTTTAGCTGAGCTGTTGCCATTCATGCAACTGGCCACCAGAGGCCTCTGCCCAACTAGCTAAGCAGGCTGCAGTCAGGGGACAGCAGTGTTTGTTTGAGTTTTCATTTTGCAAGCAGGAACCTGTAAGCTTTGGGTCTTGTCCACTTAGATCAGAGACTGATCTCATGCAGCCTGGATTCCCGTAGTAAATGGGGGTGGGAGGATGTAAATAAAAATGTGGCCACTTGTATTTGTTTTGTGTGTGTTCTTCAGATGGCAGAGAGAAACCTTTGTGTAGTGGTGGTAGGCTCGTCCATGAGGAGAAGTCTATGCATTTCTCCTGCCCATCATAGGCAGGTAGCTGGAGCCTGCCTTGAGAGAGGATAGCGCTGGGGTAAGAGTTAGAGATTGCCCTGGAATCGGGAAGCATACTGATGTTGGTGGGGATGGTAAGGATGTGGAGGGTCAGATACCAAAAGGATATTATGGAGTGGTTAGTACGAATAAAGCCCTTCTCTGGAGAACGTGGCCCTCAGCCCCATTCATTGTGAGCATTTTCTGCTGGTTTCAGGTTAAAATTTCATCTGGACGCCTGTGTGCACAGCAATGGGGAGGGGATGTCGGGAGGATTTTTCCATTGTAGAGTCAAAAGTCCTGCCCAAAGAACACTAAATAAGTATTGCTTTAAATTGTGTTTGTGGGGAGAAGTTGCATGATTTTTGAACTCTGGAGATTAGCAATATTGTCATTGGTATCCCCTGTGCCTCATCCACCATGGTTTTATATGACATGTGGACTTCAGTTGTGTCTACACTTAAAGAACCACAATGCCATAGCTGCAGCAAGCGCTTCAGGGTAGGCACTATAGTGACAAGAATTTCTCCCATTTCTATGGTCAATCCACCTCACCGCAAGGTAGTAGCTAGGTCAACAGAAGAATTCTTCCGTCCACCTAGTACTGTCCACGCTATAGCTCTGCCAAAGTAAGTTTTCAATGTAGATCAGCTCCTATTTTCTAAGTGTCTCTGATGGAACTGAGCTTTACTAAGGTGCTGGATGGGATGAAATATAAACATTTTGACCTGCTTTTTTCATTAACGTTTTGAATTTTTCTCAACCAGCTCTGAGTTCATCTTGAGTGCTCTTAGCTCTTACTTATTCCTTTGTACCACTTTGTTCCTTCTGTCAGTTTTCACTTTTCTTATGTAGCTTTGAGGCTTTTGTTGTATTTAATGGCAATAAAAGCTAGGGAGGGCTCCTCTCTCTATTTTTATGGGCGAAGGAAGGTTTGTAAATTATAATGGCTTATTACCTTTTGGGTGCCACTATTTTTGTGCAGTCTTGGCCTTGCTTGAAGGCTTTGTCTTTCAAGTGAACTACTGTTTAACAGATTTCTGACACACTTGAAAATGACTCATGCCTCTCTAGCTTCTGAAAGGAAGAATGGACTTTTTTCCCCTCTCTTCTGCTCTCAACTCTGCTTTTCACCCAAATTACATTACCCCACAGAACTTCATGTTTTGCTATGACTGGAGGTATGAGGAAAAGGCCTCTAATACTTTATCAGTCCTCCAGCCTTTTCATTTAGGGGAATTTCTCCCCTGTAAATAACTCTAGTGCTTCTGGTGCTTCTTTTGCCTCCCCCGCCACACCCACCAGATGCAGCAGCATTTTGAAACAGACGTGATTTTTGACACATTCACTGCTGCCCACTGGTTTCTGAGTAACAGCAACGAATCACTGTTTATATGTGCCATACGTAAGTGTTGTGATCTGCTGCAATTTGTCAAAGCTCTGACCTGCAGCAGAGGTTTTGCTCAGGTTTTTATGCAGTCTCAGGAAGACAGTGGTATAAAACCTTCACATTTGGAAGGTTTTTAAACAAAGAAAGTTTAAATTGTACAGAAGATGATGCTTTTGCTTACTAGGGAAAGTTCCCAGTTTACCAGTGATGAGTGAGTAGCCAGGTGGGTTTTCAAGCCCTGCTTATTATCTGCATAGCACCAACAGTATTCAAGGTGCTACCCAGACACGTATGAAAAGTACTTCCTCCTTATAATTGGAAGTCCTTTAATTAGCCAGCTCTGTCAATCTAGACAGCAAAACTGAAACAACCATTCCTGGATAGTAATACAGAACATAACCAGTTATGACTCTATACAACAGATACACACCATGTTGTATATTTTGATAAGTTTGTGTATATGCTGTGTTAAATAAAAGCCTTCCTGCGCTTTAGTACAGTGAATTTGAAATTGTGTAAAGTAAATACAGTTGAAATACTGTGTTTACATTAAGTTTGGATGTGATCATCTGGAAGTAGGTCTCTTAACTGCCAGAAGCCCTCAGGGAAGAGATTTTTCAAAAGTGTTTAGTGGTGCAATAACTTGCATGGAAACGTATATCAGTGCATCCACTGAAGTTAAATTTGTTAAGCCAATGCTTAGCACTCTCTAGATCCCACTCCCCCTTAAAATTTTATCATATGGCTAAAACGCCACAAAATAAGAAGAGTCATTAAACATTCTTCCAGAGATGTGTGGAGGTTTTAGTTTGGTTTGTATATGGCTTTTTATCTTAGCTGCTGAAATTGTTTGAAATCTATTTAAACAAGCTGCAGATGAGTATTGAAAATGCCTGGCATTTGTTGTATGACCACTGCATCAGGATGCTTTGTGCCTGGAGGAGGTTCTCTTATTAATAATTCAAAGAAATTGGTATTTGAGCTATGTCAGTTCTGCCAAGCATTATATAACTGCAGGTTCTAAATGTACCAGACAATCCTTCAACAGACATTTGCTAGCAGTCTCCAGGACAAAACTGCTTTTAAGACAAAATTGCTTCCCTGAAGCTAATGGGGATTTTTCCTGTATGGTGGAATACCTAACATGAACTAATGGAGGCCAGTGGTTTGAAATCTGTGTGCACAATATACTAATATACATTGGTGAGCAGCAGCAGCAGAATGCTGTAAGGCAAGCTTTGTTTCCATCATTGAGAAATCCTGTTGCTATCCTGTTTGAAAGGGGTTGATTCTTTGGAAAGAAAGGTTTCAGCCTTCATCAAGAAAAGCTTCAGATGTAAAGATAAGGGGAAATGGTTGAAGTGAGTACTCTATATGTGTTAGTTACATTTGTTTTCTATTAATATATTTATACTGGTTAGTTTTGGGGTTTTTTTAGTCTCTCTCTCTCTCTCCTCTCTCTCCTTCACCTTGGCATGATGTCAGTAGTAGCAAATTTGTATCTTTTTAATCATATCAAAACTCTTTTTAGCACAGACATCATTCTTAGTTATTATCTGCCTTTTAAAGAAAAACAAATCTGCCTATCCTTCACTATTGGCTTATATTTTAATTGATGTATTTTACTTTTTCATAGCATATAAATATTTCTAATGGATAATATATGTGTGTGTTTTAAGAATCAAGGGAGACTTGATTGCAGACATTTAACAGCCCCCCAAATCATGTATTCTAGGATGAGCATCCTTTCAGACTACATTTGATACATGTCATAGCAGCTTCACATCTTCCTTTTCATTTAATAGCTGTCCTAATGTATTAAAATGTAGGCTTGTTTTACATCACAAGAACAGAACTAATCAGAATAATATTGGTGTCAGTGAGGGTTGGGAGTTGTCTAATAGTTGCAGAGCCCAGCCTGCATAGCCAAGATACCTACCATCAGTACCATGCTAATATAGCTTATCTGTTTTCCTATTCAAAAGTTTATGATTAAATTGGTGAGTGAACTGTTTTCCCTCACAAGAGAATATATATTATACAGCTCATTTTAAACAAGGAGGTCGGTGCAATTTAATTTTCATATTGGGACTGGATGGAAAATAAACTCAGTGTGCTCATTTGTACAAGAACAGAATTAACAAGAAAATGTTGCAGCACAACACAGAAATGTTGAGAGAAAGCTACAGCATTTTTGCCTGCATCCTTTACCCTCATGTTGTAGCATTTATGTTGTTTGTTTCTGAAAAGCACAGAAGATACTTTTCACCGGGAATATAAAGTTCTTTTTGCTTTCTTGCAGATGAGCTGCTATGACAGGAGGTTAAGACGGACAGGACCGGAACAGCTGAACAGTAGAAATGACTTGGTTTCTCCACCCCAGCATTCCAGGGTGAATGGCTGGTCTTTACCACTCCACACCTTTCAGGTTGTGGCCCTGCTGTTTTACACATACCTAGCCATTGTAGGGTTTGGGATCTACATACCTTTGCTTCCACATGGATGGAAGTACGCTGCCTATGCCGTATCCTTTTTCCCCCTCCTTTTCCAAGACCTGCTCTGTATAGGTTCAGGGTTAAAAGTACATATACACTGCTTATGCTATGAATAAGGGATAATGCATTAGGGGAGCAGATTACATCTCCTCAATTGTATATCTAACCACACTTGCATATTGAAGGTGGTTTTGTTATAGTAGCTTTTATATAAGTTCAGTTCCTGCAAATTACCATATTTTTTTAAAAAAAGTTGTCTTTGCCAACTAATACTGGCTGTGATCCAAAGCTCATTAGTCAATGGGGATTCTCTTCATTGACTTCAATGAGCTTTGGATCATGCCATTGTTGTGAACTTTGTTCAAAACTATGAGCTGCTCAGCAGTCAGGTGTGGGGTATAGATTCCCCGCTGCTTTGAAGCACTCTTTGACGTATTGATAAACACTCACAGTCATACATCTTGCATCAGCCCCAGAGTTACTTATGTTCCACATGAATTTGATGTTCTGTTCCTTTATTTTATTTTTCAAAAATGATTTACATTGGAAATAAAGTCTCATAAAACTATTTACAGTAAAGGAATAATGGGCTAATGTGATCCTGGGACGTATAAGGAGGGAAGTAGTGAGTAGGAATAGGGAACTAATTTTACCTCTATGGAAGCATTGATGAGACAGATGTACGCCTCCCAACATTCCTGGTGATTAAAGGGGGTGGTTCCTGCCTCCGGGAGGATGGGATGGGAGGTCCAAAGAGAAGAATTCCAGAACAAGCCCACCCTACGCTTACTCTACAGGGGTGGCTCTTGTCTCGCCATACCCATGAGACAAGACTCCAACATTCTGAATGAGTGTCGGGCTTGAGGAGGAAAGAGGTGGGGGTGAATTAGAGACCAGGCAGGGGCAGGCAAGACAGTGGGAGGGAAGGTGGGATGGAAGGTGGACAATGGGCAGCCAAGCCAGCCAGCCCCCGCCCGCCCCCGGGACAGGACATGGTGTTTGTATGTCAAAGCAGGATATTCCTACTAAATCCAGGGCTGTTATAGAATAGTCTGTCTATTTGGTGTCCACATTTTAATAAAGATGTTAAAGAGGATGCAAAAAGGAGCCAAAATTATTTGAGGTCTGGAGAAAATATTGGCTAGTGAGAGACTTAGAGTTTAATCTGTGTAATTTATCAGATTGAGAAGTGCCTTGATGACATAAATACCTTCATCACAGGGAGAAAATAATGAGTTCTTTCACTTAGCAGAGAAAAGCATAACAAGAACCAATGGTGGGAAGCTGAAGCCAGACAAATTCAGATTAGAAATTGTGACTTTTGAGATTCTAAACAGTGGTCCTGGAAGGTGAATGTATCAGGAAGAAAATGATCATTTGTTTGAATTCAGATGTGTCCCTTGAGAAGCCCAGAAATGTTTTGAGTCACTATAGGGAGGTGGCACTAAGGAGGCAGCTTTCACTGCCTCCTCTGCAGCCCTAGGACCTGTACAGGTTCCAGATGGGAGAATTTCTAATAGCTTTTGGTTCACTGGCAATTCCATACTTTAAAAAGAAAGTTAGTTTTGGGTAGGCCCAAAATTTCCAAATTTAAAAAATATATTTTAATCAAAACATGAAAAATTTGTTTGCACCAAACAAATGTTTAATTTGAAACAAAACATTTTGTTTTGACGTCAAGAATTTTTAACTTGCAATAAAACATTTTACATAACAATAAAGGACATTTCTGAACAACACATTGTTTAGAGCCAGAAAGTCAAAATTTTATTACAAATGTATTAAGTTATGTTGCTCAGGGGTGTGAACCCCCGCACCTCATCCCTGAGTGACATAAATTACACCTTCCTAATAGGGTTACCAGATGATTTCAAAAAAATACCGGAAACACTTGATCTCAGTTGGGGAGCTGGGGGGCCGGCTGGGAGGGGAGTGGGGCTGGCCGGGAGGAGGTCAGGGAGAGTGGGGCTGGCCAGGGTAGATCCAGGGAGAGCAGGCGGGAAGCAGGGCTGGCCGAGAGGAGAGTGTGGGGGAGCAGGGCTGGCCGGGATGGGAGTGGGGCTGAGCGGTGGGGGGAGGGGAACTGGCTGGGAGCAGGGCTGGCCTGGGCACATGCAAATCCCGGGGTGCTCCCTGTACCGCGCATAGTCCCTGCGGGGTGCACGGGCGAGTCCAGCCCTGGGAATTCAATCCTGCCCCGGCTCTGCCCCCACCCTCCTCCTCTCTACTGTGTAGTTGCGTACTGCCTGGCTGGGAGACATGCTCACACAGTGTGAGCATGTCTATCAGCCAGGCAGTATGCAACTACGTACTGGTACTCATGATAATAATAAAACGTAATTAGAAAATACCGCACATTTATATGTGCAGTAATTTCTCAATTTGTTTCCCGGACAGAAAGCTCAAATACCGGACTGTCCAGTTCAAACAGGACACCTAGGAGCCCTACTTCCTAAGCAGCAGTGTGAACAATACTATGTTGGCAGGAGACAGGCCCAGCCAAAGAGTTTTGGAGCCCAAGGTGGCACACTGTGGTCAGCTGCATTGCATGATTGGGCGCCTTCCAGTCAGGGCAGCGAGCAAGCGGGTGGGCACCAGGTAGCATGGGGCCCTAAAAGTGAAGGCTCAAGGCAACCCGCCTTGCTTGCCTTGCCCTAAGACAGAGCCTAGTGAGAGAGCTTCTTCCACTGACATAGCTACTGCTGCTTACGAGGGAGCTCTCTCCAGTTGGCTTACAGAGTCTGTGCTCGCAGCGGCACAACTACACTGAAGCAGCCACGCCACTCTAAGCTTTCTAGTGTAGCCATGGCCTGAGAGTTCTAAAGAGAGTGGAACAGGAAAGATCGGCTCCCAAGTGCTAAGTGTAGCCCTCTAGAACTTTGTGAAATGTTATATTTGACCCTCAGGCTGACAAGATTGCCCCCCCCCCCCCCCCCCGGGGCACTACCCTATGGTGTACTGTACACTTGTTGTGCCCCACATGTGACTGACGGGCATTCTGAATGTTGCAGAATGAAAACTCAGCTCAGCAGTGACTGCTCAGAAATGAATCCTAACTTACAAAATGTTAGCATTATTTATAGTGAGCTTTTCAGGACATGGAGCAGCTTACTCCAATCAGATTACTTTCCACAGTGGTTGCTCTTCTTCATTAAATCACGAATCAATGTTTTGAGTTCTATTGTGACTCCAAACATAGGCATTTGAAACAGTTTTGAAATTGCTGTGACTGAGATGGAGGGAATGGACATGGGGAAAAGTTAACAATGTTATGAAAGGGAAAGCATCAATACACCAGTAATTTATGTACTATTTATATACTAAACACAGATTGTTGCTAGGATGTGATATGGTGTCAATGCAATAATTTTATAACAGCATGATAACTCTTACAAGGGAGAAAATACTTATGCAGTCAAATCTTGTGTTTATAATGAAAAACAATCCTTTCATGGTGCCATTTATCTCTTCTACTAATCAAAATCAGATTTATGCTGGAAACACAATAAAGTCTTAAAACAAAGGGCTTTTGTGTGTTTTCCCACTTCATAGGAAAATAATTCCTATTTTTTTTAAAAAGCTGTTTAAGTCAATTTGCATACTAGGTTCACACATGTTGGAAAAGAATAACCATCTTGCTGAAATCCCCTCTCACCCTTACTGGGTCCTGATGGTGCTGTCATTGCTGGGTGTGGGGTGGAGATCCTTGGAACAGGGTAACTGAGGGCTTTTTTTTTGTGGTGGGTGATGGCTGTTGTTAAGGAAAATTATATTGCATATTAGAGAATGTATTTTAAGGCTTGTTTGGGGAAAGGGGAGGGTTACTACCTTGAAGTTCAGTTCAAGTTCAGGTGTTTCCACAAAGATCTGAAAAATAAATGACCTTTTGGGTAGTCTGAGTTCATGGAATTTTTTTCTCATTTAGGGTATATCTACACTGCACCCTTACCTCGAAATAAACTATGCAGTTTGAGCTAAGCAAATTGTATAGCTTATTTTGAAGTAATTTCAAAATAAAGCGCTATTCCAAAACGTCCCTTAACTCTCGTGGAATGAAGGTTACAGGGACGCTGGAATAGCTCGCCTGTTATTTCGAAATCTATTTCAAAATAACAAGCTGCTTTAAACACACAAAATAGCTATTTTGGGATACTTTCAGTATCCCGAAATAGATCCGCAGTGTAGACATAGCCTAAGAGAAGTTGAGAGATGCATATTTCTGCCTTCCCTTTTCCTCTGTGTTCCCTTTACTTAGATAAATTGACATCGTTGGGTTTTTTTGTTTTTTTATAATCCTGATTTGACTGGAGTTGGGGTCTTTCCTTTTATGAAAGAGCTCGCCAGAGAAGGTGCTCCTGTGGTAATATAGGATGAAGGAAGGAGTTGCTTGCTAAGTCCCATTGACATGGGCAGAGATGAGAGTGTCTGGAGTTGTCTCCCCCCTACACACTCCCCCCACAAAGACTAGTCCTTTCTCTTGTGCATTGGATCTACTGCAGCAATGGGCAACCTAGGCTAGGGAGTGGGCCGCATGAGTGGCCCTCTTTCATTTCAGTGGGCTACAAGATTGTCATGACCAATATGGTCTCTTGGGATAGAATAGTTTTGCTAACCGTGCTTCTTACCTAGAATTTGTGGGATGTGTCAATTGAACCGCAGCAGCGCTTTGGGTGCAGAAGGAGCCCAGTGTTGTCAGTCAATGTTGTGTGTAACCAGTGTGCACCTCACTTTACATGCTCTTGCTTTATGTATGTGCCACTTTAATAGACAGAAATCAATGGAACCTTGCAACTCTGCAAGTAGGAAATGGTAAACAAAATGTCTGGTGGGCCACGCATAGAGCCCTGATGATCAGAGTGAGGCCTGCAGGCCACAGGTTGCCCACCGTTGATCTAGTGGCTGAATTTAGTGCATCCAGATCTTATAAGGAAGGTGTTACACTGTGCACAAGGACAGCAAATTTTCAATGTGTTGTTGTGATCAAGTTATACATTTTATTTTAGATAGTAATAACTTAAGAAATTTTCAA